ACAAAGGGCCATTTGAAGAGTACTGTAGAAGACATGGCATCAAGCTTGAGAAAACTGTTCCAAAGACCCCACAACAAAATGGGGTGGCAGAAAGAATGAACAGGACTATTTGTGAGAAGATAAGATGTATGCTCTCTTATGCAAAATTACCTAAGCACTTCTGGGCTGAGGTAATGAGGACAGCAGTTGACTTGATTAATCTTTCTCCATCAATTCCTTTGAATGGTGATGTTCCACAGAGCTTTTGGATAGAGAAAGTCTTGATCACTTGATAGTTTTTGACTGTCGGGTATCTGTTCATATTCCTAAAGATGAAAGGTCCAATCTGGATAGCAAAGCAAAATAGTGTATCTTCTTGGGTTATGCACATAAAGAATTTGGGTACAGATTGTGGGATCCGAACAAAAAGATTATCAGAAGCAGAGATGTTGTATTCTTTGAGAATGAAACCATTGAAGATTTGGATAGGACTAAGAAGCCAAATACAGTCAATGAAGAACAAATCAGTTCAGTTCCACATGTACCACTACCAGACCCTATGGTACATGATGATCACAGAGAAAATGTGCAAGAAGAAAATGACACTATAGGAGACAAACTTGATGAAGCCTCTACACAGGGTAATGTAGAACCAGATCAAATTCAAGAGAATGTTCCTCTTGAGGTGTTAGCTGAAGAGGGGTTGAGAAGATCTACTAGAGAGCGTCAGCCTTCTAAGAAATACTCTAGTAATGAATATGTGTTACTTTCTGATGGGGGAGAGCCAGAAAGTTATCAGGAGGTTTTGCTACATGATCAGAAAAATGAATGGTTAAAAGCTATGCAAGAAGAGATGAAATCTTTGCATAAGTGCCACGTGTTTTATATAACGTGATTTTATACCGCAAGCGCACGGTGTCAAGTTTTGTAGTATATTAAAGAATTGAAAAGTGTCGAACCCACAGGGATTAATATTCGACTTCCACTGAATACTATAATTGTATCCGCGTTTACTTTATCTAGACAATCGAGTGTTAAATTAATGTTTGAATACTAAACTAACTTCAATGAATTAAATAGTGCAATAAAAGTGAGGCAATTTCTAAAGACTAAATCAAACTTACGTAATGTCTAGGAAATGATTTCACCGTATTCTCGACATAATTCTCAATCCCTATAGATATTTCCGTCAACTATTTCCCGAATTCATAGGCAAGAATCCTAAATTAATTCTATTTCCCCCTCTCGAGCGTCAAATAGAACCTATCTCTATATTTTAACCCCAATTTCTCTATTCCGAATTAAATATATAAAAATTATCACGCACTTGGTTCTTGTTTTACCCTCAAAGATTCGTACTTTCTCTCGAAATCTACAAACCTAGGTTATATTGTTCTTAGATCACGCCTAAATTTCCCTCTCTCAAGCGTCAAATTTAAAACATCAATTCATTCAATTGGTGATCAGGCAACTGAAAGCATTAAGCAAGAACAATACAAATCAATTCTGAAAAATTAAATGGAAATACTATAAAGAAATTGAATCATGTCTCAAATATGTTACATCAAACCCTAGATTTAATTACTTAGTTCATGATTGAGAAGAAGAACATGATAAAATACAAATTAAATTGCATGGAGAAGAGAAAGATAAGAAAAAACTCAGGTTGCTACTCTATTTCTCAATCTTGTTGCTTGATTTCTCAGTTTCTCCCTTCTTCTTCTCCAAAATCGGGTCGATCTTCTCTCAATTGGTGCCTCTTTTTTTCTTGCCTCTTCAGCTGTCTAAACCCCCTTCTCTTGTTCTTCATCTTGGTATTTATATTTTCTAAGAGTCCTCAAGAGTTAGGGTATGATTTTTTGGACCGAAAAGATAATTAAAATTCGGGTTTTAACGTTTTGGGATTTGGCGCCACGGCGCCCAAGCATGGCGCCATGGCGCCACAATTCTCATGTTAACAGGCACCATGGCACCCAGGTTTCTGCTGCCTTCTTGTCTTCATTGGGTGCCATGGCGCCCAGGTTTGGCGCCGTGGCGCCTAAGTTTCTGCTTGAATTCATCGCTTTGGGGGCGCCATGGTACCCTTTTTTCTGCGCTGTGGAGCCAATGCCACTACTTTGCTTCTCTTCACTTTGTTTTCCAAGCTTATTTTTCACTCCAATCTTATTCAATACTTGCTTATTCATGCTTCATTTCATTGATCATCATTTTCGCTCATCACCGGCTCCCAATAGTGGTATTTTCTAAAGAGTTGTTCAAACTGCAAAACAACACGAACACACACATTAAAACGTTCAAAAATGCCCAAGAACACATCAAAAAACGTGATTTAGAAGCTTTAATTTAATGAGTGAATTAAACTCATCAATAAGAATAACACCTATGATCTAGTAGAGTTGCCTACGGGCAAGAGAGCACTTAAGAACAAATGGGTGCTTAGATTAAAAGTTGAACCACATAGCTTGCAGCCAAGGTACAAGGCAAGGTTGGTTGTGAAGGGGTTTGGTCAGAAGAAAGGTATTGATTTTGAAAAAATATTCTCACCTGTGGTTAAAATGTCTTCAATCTGAGTTGTGTTAGGATTGGCAGCCAATATGAATCTGGAGATTGAACAACCTGATGTGAAGACCGCTTTCCTCCATGGTGACCTTAAAGAGGAAATATACATGGAGCAGCCAGAAGGATTTACAGCTAAAGGTAAAGAAAATCTTGTATGTCGATTGAAGAAAAGCTTGTATGGCTTCAAGCAGACACCAAGACAATGGTACAAGAAATTTGATTTCTTCATGGTTGAGCATGGGTACACCAGAACAACTTCTGATCATTGTGTGTTTATAAAGAAATTCTCTGATGGGGAATTTATTATTCTTTTGCTCTATGTGGACGACATGTTGATTTTAAGTCGTGACACTGAAAAAATTAAGAAGTTGAAAAGGGAGTTGAGCAAGTCCTTTGAAATGAAGGATTTGGGACCCGCAAATCAAATCCTCGGTATGAAAATCCTCCGTGACAGGAAGAATGAGAGATTATGGTTATCACAGGAAAGTTATATCGAGAGGGTATTACACAGGTTCAATATGGATAAGGCAACACCAGTTAGCTCTCCACTTGCAAGTCATTTGAAATTGAGTTCAAAACAAAGTCCTTCAAGTGAGAATGAAAATAAAGAAATGAAGAATGTGCCTTATGCATCAGCTGTGGGTAGCTTAATGTATGCTATGGTATGCACAAGGCCAGACATTGCTCATTCTGTTGGAGTTGTAAGTAGATTTCTTTCTAATCCTGGAAAAGAACACTGGGCAGCAGTGAAATGGATTCTCATATATCTTAGGGGGAGTTCTAAGATATATTTATCTTTTGGCACCAGCAAACCCGAGCTTGTTGGGTTCACAGATGTCGATATGGCTAGTGATGTAGACTCTAGAAAGTCTACCTTTGGGTATTTGATCACTTTCTCAGGGGGAGCAGTCTCATGACAGTCAAGACTATAGAAATGTGTTGCTCTATCTACCACAGAGGTTGAGTACATAGCCATCACTGAAGCTAGCAAGGAGTTACTATCGATGAAGAAGTTCTTACAAGAACTGGACTTAGAGCAAGAGAAGTATATACTCTATTGCAATAGTCAGAGTGTCATCCATCTCAATAAGAATCCAACTTTCCACTCAAGATCCAAACATATTGAAGTGAGGTATCATTGGATTCGAGATGCACTGGAGATGAGGAAGTTACAGCTTTAGAAAATTCATACTGACGAGAATGGTTCAGATATGATGACAAAGCCATTGCCTATGGAGACACTACAAGTATGTAGAACGAAAGCGGGTTTGGTGGAGTCCCTCACGTAGTCGGGAGGGGGAGATTTGTTGGACTTTCCCTCCACTTGAGGGACTTGATCTAATATTAGCCCACTAAGGCCTTGACCCATTTAATGGTCCATTTTAATACCCAAGTTAAATGTACAAATATAGACAAGCTGAAAAACGGGGTAGAAAAAAATTACATTCCAAAAAGGGCAAGTCCATTTTTTTTTTCTTTTACTGAAGCAGAGAGTTACGCGAGAGAGAAACTTACGGCATTTCAGTTCTTCTTGCCAAATGATGGGGGCTCGTTTGTAGTCCGATTTATCTGAAATTTCAGTATGTTATTCTTGGCAAAGATACCTACATTTTGATTGAAGCTGATCGTCGATATTCTTCTCCATTTCTCTGGGCTCTACACACTAGTCTAGTGAGATTTTCTCCTTATTATTGTGTGTATTTATTTTGGATGATGTTGTTGTTGATATCCAAGAACTATATGTGTTCTTGATGTATTGGTAGCCTCTAGATTGTGTTCTGGAGATGGTTAATTGTGTATCCCATTATTTTATAATGGAAGGCTTTACTGGACTAGGTCCCGAGGTTTTACCTTCACGTTGAAGGGTTTCCCTAGTGAACAATTATTGGTGTTCTTATCTTTACATTTCTGCCAGTGTGTGTGTGAGTTGGAGCCGGTGTTATTTTACTGCCATTATTAATTCTGCATAATAGGGGATTGTGAGATTATATTCCGCTGCGTGGTTGTGTTAATTGGTTCAACCCCCAACAAATCCACCATATGCTTCGCATCGAGGGAAGAAAAAACAAATTTTAGCTTAGATTTTCACTTTTATGCTCGATGCCCGACGTTTGACCCGAGAAAGAAAATATGTTTGGTTCTATAAAGCATTGCATACATGTCATAAGTTTATTTGTTTGAAGAATAAAGCCACTTAGCCAGATTAAAAAACATGAGAGTGAAGTAATAGACTAATGTGTTAAAAAAATGATGGGGTGTTTGATCATGCATCAACACGTGTCCTATCTGAATATGAATCTGAATGTGCATTGTTGTTAAAAACACACGTCTTTACTTCAGTTTTAAGTGGAAGAGAATGATTCATGGGAAGCACTCGGAATTATTTTAAGCAAGTGCAGGTCGATTAGTTTAGAACACTGGATCGGCAGAGTGGCAGCAATATGCACTTAAACAGCACCATATTAAGCACAAATTCAGAGATCTCAAAACACAATTTAATCCTGAATCAAATATGTTTTTTAGCATCCAGGAAACAATGGAGGCAATAAAAAGCAGTCTTCAGTAAGTCAAATTACAAATTAAACTGACAAGCAGTAATCTGTTTGAAGAATCTAAGGATTTTGACCATGTTGATTCATATGACCATTCATATTTGCCTCAGAAGCACGTTCTATACGTTCGCCATTGGGCTCTGCAGGCTGCTGAGCTGGATCTTTAGCCTGTGGTGGCTCATTCGTATGGCGATGTCCATTCTTGTGATGATGGTGGTGACGACCACGTCTATGACGACTCCTTTCGTGCTTTTCTTTCCTGCCTGGTTCATCATTGTCATCAGATGAATTCCCCAGAGATCTGCTCCTCCTGCCATGTCCGTTTTCATAAGAATCTGAAGAGTCATGATCATGCGATCGATGATGAGATTTGTTGCGTCTTGCATGACTCTTCCTTCTCTTAGTCCCCTCATTGCTGGAAATATCTGAACTTGAGTCTACCAGCCTATGATGTTTATGGTGCTTTGCATGGCTTCTTCTTTTGGTTGCATCATCATCTTTTGAAGATTCAGGATGCCTAGACTCAATCTTCCGATGATGTTTGTGATGCTTTGTTCGATTTCTTTTTCTGATAGCATAATCATTCTCGTCACTTGAAGAATCTGAGTCACTAGAATCAGAACTTGTACGAACACGCCTGTGTTTCTTGTGGTCATGCTTCTTCTTCATTTCCTCTTCCGAATCACTATCATATTCATTACTGCTATAATCTGAACTCGAGGATTGCCTCCTCGGCTTGTGCTTGGATCTCTTATCCTTCCTCTTCTCATGGTCGCCTGAGTTGGAATGGTTTTGCTTTCTTCTCTTGTGGGATTTTTTTGTCCTCTTTCTCTCCTCATCACCACTGTCAGAGAAGCTATCACTATCTGACCCTGACACGGATCTTCTCTTGTGTTTAGCAGCCTTCCCCTTCCTCTCTTCGGCTTCAGCATCAGCTTTTGCCTTGGCAGCAGCTTCAAGTTTCTGCTCCCATTTCATGGGGGCTTCTCTTTTCGCCAATACTCTCTTCTTTTTCTCCTCAACCAACTGCATAAATTTTTTGGCATCCATTTAGATGTAAAAGACAAGTCTACCTGCATTTGGTATGATGATGACCAGAAGTTCATCTCAAAGAAGAGAAGGAAACAATGTTAGTTCTTCCAACACAATAATAAATCCATAATAAAATTAAAATCACACAAGAAACATGGAGCAAAATTGAAAAAAAGAAATAATAATAATAATCTATAAAAACAAAGATATGAATAATATCAGTTTCACATTGAATGAAGATAAGCACACACTCTTAGCAGTGGTAGGATCATCAAAGTAGCAAGATGAACAAGGAAAGAACTATGATGACGAGAACACAACTTCCAACTAAAATGAGGAAAACTCAGATGGGCAGCGTACAAAACAAAGTATTTCAGTTCTTTTGCATCACTTCAGTCAGGACAAAAGTTGAATTCACGAAGATGACAAGAAAATATACTATGCATGCATAATTAAACAATTATTGTTTGTCATTTCCTTGACTGTCTTGTCTGCCGAACCTTTATACACGTTTACAAATTAGCTCATCCAGTCATTCCAAGTAAAGATGATGGCTAATGACACTTTTAGCCTAAAAGAAAGATAATAATGGAATGCTTCCATAATAAGTATGCAACAAATCATTTTTCAGTATAACCTGTAACTGAAATTAATAAACCTTCATTATCAACTTCATTGTAAAATTCAATAACATTCTTCAAAGTACGTAGATATTTACAGATGTGTGAAAGTTTTTTGCTAAGTAATAACCAACACAAATTCCCACTTAAGTAGAGATAACAAATTCTGTTAACACATCATGGATCTCCAGTTATATTTTTGTTCATTGCTAATTGCTATAAAATAAATAAAAAAATAAAAATCATAAGACAACGACGACATTTTCAACCATTGCAGTAAAATTACATTAATATTACCGTTGAACATTAAACACTCTTCTGTACCAAAATTACAAATTTTATTTTTTATTTTTTATTTTTTTTAAGGTAGAAGCATCAAGGAGCAAAGTTATTAATTTACAGAGCAAGTAAAATAACATTTGAGAGGACTTTTGACACTGACACATGATTTCCTCAACAAGTATTTGTCATAGCCCTCCTCCTGTTCAGGCCAATTTCTGCTTTGAACTAGAGGGTAGTGTGTGATTAGCGAATTTCAAGACATAAATTTCTAGAACACCATCAACCAACCTGATTTAGTAGTTGTCTCAGAAATTTGTGCAGTTAGAAACATCTTGTCACAAAACAATACTACAGAAAATACCAATGTTTTAAAAACCGACCCGAGCATCGAACCGGAAAAGACAAAGGGTCAAGGATCTAAAGGTTCAACTGGAGTCAAACCGGATGCAATAAATAAATAGTAAATTGGACATTTAATTTATGTACAACAACAATTGACAAAAATAAGTACATAATGTATACAAATGAAAACACCTGTTATGTCAATGGTAAATTCTTCAATACTTGTATAGTATTTTATTGTGTCAATGTAATAAAATTAAATGAAAGATCACATAAATTGGACAGAATCTACTGTGCTAACTCAATTTCTTTTAATCCCACATCAGAATCTGATTATAAAAGCGTTGATGATGTATGCTATAAACGTATGGGCCAACAAGTAGTAGCGTAAATGTTATGGGCCTCACATTGATTTCAATGTGCTGGGCTAAAAGATGATAGCATTAATTTCCAAACCAAATAGCCAACCGATAAAACTGGGAAAACTGTTTCCAAGTCATCCGGTCAACGGTTAATAGGCTAATTTACCATTTATAAAATAAATGGGTTTTGAGCATTATTCGGTCCGGATATTGGATAACTTTATCGGTTTTCCATGTTGAACCGGCCGGTCTGGTCTGGTTTTGATAACATTGTGAAAAAACTAAATATTCAGACATTAATCATAGTAAACAACATAATGCAAATTTGATACGGGTTTCTTACCTTCTGATGAGAGGAACCCAACAGCTGCACTGGACTCTGACCAAAAATCAATTATCTTTCCCCTCCAACAAAAACTGCAAACAGCAAACCCAAATAGTAGCAAATTCAAACTCAGAAAATGTAAAGCCTTTATAAGAAAACACCAGCATACAGTTGACAAAGAAATCACGATCAAATGCTTAAATAGACGTCTTAAAACCAATGTGATAAAGGAAAAAGACGAGCAAACCAAAATATCTGATTAAAATAGAGAATTGACACCTCTACAAGAACTCAAGATACTTCCCAAAATTCAAACAGTAACAAAAATGGTATTCAGCAACTGATCTTGAACCCTAGAAGATGATCCAGACAAGAGGTTGATTAGGCCTATTAAAGCCAATGTGAAGAAAAAATGAGAACCAAATTACCCGACGAAAACAGGAACCCTAGAAATTGACCTCTACAAGAATCTTCAAGATTACATCCCACAATTCAAACACAAACAAAAGAAATATCTTGAACCCTAGAAAATAATTCAAACAAAAGCATTAATGTCACATCATACATAGCCAAGAAAGGAAAACAGATCCGACGCAGCTTTCAGTGTTACAGAAAATAGAAAAGAAATCTCTCTTTCTCTCTATGTGTATCGATGAATTCCAAGCTGCCTTTGTCACTAGAAGCTTCGACGGATTGAGGCGGCGACTTCGAGCATTGGGAATATGGGTGGGTGGAATTTGAAAATAGGAATTAGGAGGAGACGTGTGTAAGACCGGTTTTTTGTGAGTTTTGTTTCGATCCATTTAGCAAAAGCGCGTTTTTCATGAGCCATCAATTTATCTATTTATTTCTTCTTTTTACCTTTTTTTCCCCTCCTTAATATATTTTTATTTGTTTTAAATGGTAAGTCAAACGTGCCATATAAATAGGCTTAAAGACAAATTCAAAATCAGGGAAGACACATATCGACTTGAGATTAAAAAAGTTTGAAAACAAATATAATATCCAATCATTAATTCACACATCAGTATGTTTTCTGTAATTCTATTTTTGAGTATGTTCGAGAGGAATTATTGATGATTAGTTTATTAGTGAATAATAATGATACTCCTTTAACCCTTGAAATTATTATTATTGTATCCTTAATCCATATATGTTATCTTTTCTCTCTCTAATTTATGACACGTATCACCCTGAAGTTCTAGCTCTAACCAATTTGAATCTTTTATTGTCATATTAATACAAACTTCTTCCCCAAAAAAAAAACAAAGGGGTCGTTCTCTCCCCTTTTACTTTTTCCTAAAATCTCAATAATCCCAACAATATCACCTTGCTTCACCGAAGAATGAAATTTATTCTAATGTGATCTGCGTCTTAAGAATAAAGCTTGGCGTACAGAAAATTTCATACAGAAAACGTACAACCGCGCATTAATTATTTCCTGACAGTCCCAACCGCCCAACTTCTACCCACACCACCCCCTTGGCCCTTACCTTTTTTCCCCCCCTATTTTCCTCTCAAATTTTGGAATTATTATTGGAATGTTAAATGAAGTTGAAATATTGTATTTTTAATATCATTTCGACGTGCTCACGATCTAGTTTATCGTATTCTTACTCACGTGCGAAATGGCCAACCGTAGCGAAAGTTACCACTTGTCGAAATACGCCATTCAAAATTATAAATGATTTTTCTTATTTTTAAGATTATTACGTGATGTCAAATTAAATCGAAATATCGTATTCTTAATATCATTTCAAAGTACTCACGACCTAATTTATAACATCCTTAACGGCTTGTGAAACGGCCAACCATAACAAAAGTCACAACACATTGAAATATGTTGTTCCAAAATATATAAATAATTTTTCTTATTTTTGTCTCAATTTTCGGGATTATTATGGAATGTCAAATGAAATCAAAATATTACATTTTTAAGACCATTTTCAAAGTGTCACGACCTAGTTTCCGCCATCCTTAACGACGTTCGAAACGACCAACCGTAATAAAAGTCATTTTCAAAACATATAAAAGATTTTAATTATTTTGTCTCAATTTTCGAGGTCATTACGGGATATCAAACGAAATTGAAATATTACATTTTTAATACCATTTTGAAATGCTCATGGTCTAGTTTCCTCCGTCCTTAATGGCGTGAAAAAGGGCTAACCGTAGCAAAAGTGTCATGCATTGAAGTAGCCAATTGTAGCAAATATTGCATTTTTGTATTCCTATTTTGGAACGGCCTATTTTGATGAGTGTTAACTTTTTATACAGTTGGCCATTTTACGCTCCGTTAAGGAAATCGAAAATTAAACCATGAGCACTTCGAAATGGTTTTAAAAATATAATATTTTAATTTCGTTTGATATCTCATAATGACCTCGAAAATTGAGACAAAATAAGGAAAATAATTTATACATTTTGAAAATGCCTAATTTGACAAGTGATAACTTTCACCATGGTTGGCCGTTTCGCATGCCGTTACGGATGGCGGAAACTAGGCCTTGAACACTTTGAAAGTGGTATTAAGAATACGATATTTCGATTTCATTTGACATCCCGTGCTAATTTTGAAAATTGAGACAAAAATAAGAAAAATCATTTATATATTTTATAATGGCCTATTTCGACAAGTAGTAACTTCCGCTACGGTTGACCATTTCGTGAGTCGTTAAGGATGCAATAAACTAGGATGTGAGTACTTTGAAATGATATTAAGAATCCGATATTTCGATTTAGTTTGACATCACATAACAATCCCAAAAATTTAAATCAAAATAAGAAAAATCATTTATATATTTTGAACGGCCTATTTCGACGAGTGGTAACTTCCGCTACGGTTGGTCATTTCTCACACGGTTAAGGTTGCGATAAACTAGACTGTGAACACTTCGAAATGGTGTTAAGAATGCAATATTTTGACTTCGTTTAACATTCCCGAAATAATTCCGAAATTTGAGACGTAAATAAGGAAAAAAAGGGAAGGGGAACGGGGGCTGTACTGGGGGTTATGTTGGGTGGGTAAAAGGTGGGCAGTTGGGGCTGTCAGGAAATTAATGCACGGTGCCACGTAAGATTTTTTGAATTTCTGTAAGCCTTCTGTATGATATTTTCTGTACGTGTAGCTGAATCCGCGTCTTAATATCATTGGCTATCTCTCCATTTTTCCCAAACACGTAGCTGCTTTAGGTTCTTCTGTGACCAGCCTCTTTTTCTCTCTTGTTGGCGACTGTCTTCTGCATTTGTACCTGGAAATTACTGTCCATATGCTTGATTTTACTCTTTCTGCTTGCGGCCTCTTTATGCAGTCCGATTTTGGCTATTTTCTTCAAGACCCTTAGGTGGTATACTTCGTGTTTTCGATAGGAGAATCTTGGTTCAATTTGTGTGGCATTACGTTGTGGTTTTGGGCTTTAATCTAAGCACTGATTCATCAAGGTAATTTGTGTGGTATTACCTTGTGGTTTTGGGCTTTGGTCTGAGCAATCAGCAATGATTCAACAAGGTTTGTTGTCAATATTTCATGCCTCACCATCATTTTTTTTATGTTTAACAATAAATTATTCATTATTGAATTCATTTTTAATTTGTTGTTGGTCTTGAAATAACATAACGTTATAACTAATATTCTAGAACAATATTATTCGTAGAACTATCTATTATCAATTACAAATATTTTGTTATTCTTGAAGTAACATAACATTATAATTAATATTACAAGAAAATATTATTTACTCGTGAATATTACAAATTATAATTTTTAATATTTCAGAAAAATATTGATCAATTTTTATATTAAATCACGAATTAAATTACTCAATTTTTTTAAGGGTCCATTCTTCTACATACATATTTATATATTTATATTCTAGTTAAATTTTGCTTCCTTCAGAAGAGCATAATAAATACGATGAAACGTAAATTATGTTTTTACTTCTGAAAGGTGGATTCTTGTATAATTTATTACAATGATATGTGATTACTCGTGAATGTCATACATTATGATTTTTAATATTATAAAAGAATATTGATATATTGCTTTTGAAAAAAATACAATGTGATATTGGAGTAGCACATATTTCAAAAAATATATCATTTTGAATTAATGTTTATTTTTAAAGGAAAGCATATAACTAATCTTATGGGCTCATTGATTAGTTTGACTACCTGAATGATATATAATTATATAATATTTAATTAAATTCTTTGACATTAAACAATTGAATAATATCTTATATTATACTAGAAGTTTAATTTGATTTTATTGTTTGGCATGATCAGTTAGACTATCAGTGGATCAATAATGATGCAAAATTAAAAATTCAAATGAATATTCAACGAAGAACCATAAAATTTTTTAATCGAATGAATTCCTATATATTATTTGTTCTCTTTTATTGAAATTTGATTATTAAATATCAATAGCTAAAATAAGAACTGAATTCTCTATATTTCTGAAAATTAATAATGGAGATAAATGGGGCTCTATTTTAATGCTAATGGGCAAAAATTTCAACATTTTAATAATTGTTAGTTAAGATGTTGATAAATGTTTAAGACTATTGCTTGTTACACGCCTCCTATTAATTTAATTGAGAACAAAGTATTTTAGAACAAGTTATATGCAATTTAATTTCTTGAAATTCGTTTTCTTTCTATCCAAATTTTATTTTTGCAATCAAATGGACCCTAATTTCATTTGCCGCTTGCGGCCCCTCTATCATTTGATGAGCATCCTATAAAATTTAGATTTTACAAGTTCCTCCTACATTTATCATTATTGGCATTCAGAAAGCAATTGGAGATGCTGACGAATATCTCAAAGTTATTATTTTTTGTTTCCTTCCTTCAGTATGCAGTAACTTTACTAATCTAATGGTGGGTGAAAAATCTCAATGGCCACCCGACTTTCAACATTGTTTCGGAAAAATCACTGCACTTTGAAGCTTTCTTGGAATAATTCCACTATCCATACTTTCAACGATGTTAGAATTTTCCAGAATAGTTTTCTGAATATGTGTCATTTTTTTGTTATTTTTTTTACTGTTTGTCACTTTGTTTTATTTTCTGTCACTTTTTTTTTAATTCGTATAACTTTTTTAATTTGTGTTACTTTTTTGAATTCGTCACTTTTCTAGATTTCCACTTTTTTTGAATTTTTATCACTTATTGTTAGTGTTTGTCACTTTTTTTCAATTACCTTCTTGATTTTGTCACTTTTTGTGACAAACATTATTTTACTTTTTTCAATCACCTTCTTGATTTATATATATATTTTTTTATGACAAACATTACTTTTTTTTCTATTAAAAAGTGACAATTTTTATAAAAGGTGATATTGTGCCACTTTTTAGTATTACAAAGTATTTTTTACTTTCAAAAATTTTTCATATGAGTTTTCAAGCGATCCTTAATTTTAAGGTTATTTTTGTAAGTTTTCCTATTTTTCCTTCGTATTATTATTTTTGTTGGGCAAAACTTTGGAAGCATATGTAATCATTGACAAGTAATAATTTTAGTGAGTTGAGAGTATCGACTGATTGAGAATAAATTTCACTTCATGTGTACTAATTTTGTATGATAGAGATTTTGATTTATTTATTCAAAATTATTCTAAGAAATAAGTGAAAAGTTTGGTTTCTATTAAATTATGGATTATTGTGTTGGATTTAGATATTGTATATTGTTATCTATTTCAATTCTCAATTATGTAATCTTGTGTCGCTCATGCATTCTTAACAATCGATAAAACTAATGTATTTAAATTT